CCCTTTCGCTGCCCGAATGCCAGCCGGGCCGGCCCCGTCTCCCCCGGCGGCCGCCCCGGCCCCGCGGCGCGGCCGCACCGTGACTCAGCCCCGGGCTCCCGGGCGGCCCGAGCCTCCCCCCGGCACCTGCGCCCGCCCCGCGCCGCCTTTTGTCTCGTTCGGAGCCGCTTCTCCCCGTGCACCGGGTCCTGCTTCGCTCCCGGTCCCCCCGGCCTTGCAGCCCTCGGGGCCGCATCCCTCCGTGCCCACCGTGGTGATGCTCCTGCTCCGGGAGGTGCCGGGATGCAGCATCTCCGGAGCACCCACGGATGCTCTCCGGCCTCGGGGATGGAGACCCCCGCTCCAACCGGCAGGACGGGGGGCTTTTTGCTTGTTTGTTTTGCATGTGTGTGTTTTTTTTTCCCCCACCTCCCATTCCTTGATGGATTCTCGCTCTCCGCAGTGGGCGACGGGCGATGCCCTGACCCTCTGCGGTACCCGCTGGGGTATCAAGGCACTGGTGGGAGATGCCCCATGTCACCACCGGGCCCTGCGTTTCTCCCCAAGCCGCCAGCCACCTCACACTCCCGACCTGTGGATGCGTTTTTTCCTGCGGGGAAATTGCCAGGCCCGGGAAGCAGCCACCGCGCGCCCAACCACAGCGTCAGGGCGCTGCGTAAAGTGGGGCACGCGGTGCCACATCCATCCGATGTTGTTTTTACCCTTGCCCCCATCCCTGTTTCTTTGTTCGAGCCACAGCCGGTTGTGGAAACCAGGACTGTGGGAGCCTTCAGGGTGCCCGGCCCTTCCTCACTCTTGCTGCCTCCTCCTCTTCCTCCCTGCATTGCAATGGGCCATGGCAGGGGCAGCGCTGGGCGCACGGGCACGGTGGCTTCCACCCTGCCTTGCAGCCGCTGTGCAGAGCTTTAAAAACCATCCCGAATCTGCGTGGCCTGAGGAAACCCAGGCAGTGGAAACTGCCCATCGGGGAGTCCTCAGGCGGCTGCAAAATCTTCCCGGGGCCGTGGGCCTGGAGCGGCAGGGCCGGGGCC